CTAGACTTTCCAAGTGGTAGACCCCTCCTGAACTCAATCTAGAACCTGGTTCCTGTTTTATTAAATGTTCACGTTTCAAGTTCCTCCTCAACAAACTGTGGGCTGTACAGATCCTCCAACATACGCCACGTTAATAGATGCTTACCCCTAATTTCCACCCCAACCGGAACGGCTACGAAAAGGATGTATCCACCTATCGCAGCTGATCGTAACCATTCAAGTTAATGTGTAAATTTCCACCAGCTTCTTTCCGTTCCACTGCGGATCACCAGACTCCGCAGCTGATTGCAAGAGTTCTATCTTTTTCCGTTACAATCCTTCTCCAAGTTTCTTTGCTAATCTCCAAAGGTATATCTTGCAACCTCGAATGGGAAACTCTGCCTCCTCTATCTGCAATCTCACCTTTTGTCGCTAACCAAAGGTGAGGAACGCGATGTAGAGCAACTGGTTCATGGAGAATTTTGGCCTCTGGTTCACCTCATTCTTTGATGCAACATGACACCAATAAATTCACCTGCTGGTTTATTTCGTCTGTAAAGTGATACAGTATTATCAGTCTTTCTCATGCCCGGTTTTAACCTCACTTCCTCATGCTCACATATGTTCATACTTGCTAGTTTTGAAAGTCTTGTTAGACCAGAAAAGAGTATCTTTAGTTTTGAGCGATTTTGAAGTAGGTCGTCTTTTAAGAGAGAGGAGATTCTGCTTCTCTTTGTTAGTCATTGGATGAATAAATAATGAAGTGTTGATGAACGTCATCGAAGTCTGAGATGTTGGTTTATTGAAATGATTGAAAATTGACAACAAAATTCCTTTTAATCACAGACTGTTGAAAAGGCCAATTTCTGATTTGCGAGCAGTGGCGATTTCGACGATGAATGTTCGTCAATGACCTCTTTTTCCATGATGATGATGAGATGACGATGATCTGTTTTTATCAACCAAATGAGTTGGGCCTAAATGCTACGCGGTAAATCGTAAACCTTATCTTGAGGTTAACTATTTTACATCTTTATCCCCAAAACTAAATTTTTTGGTGTTTTTTTTCTGCCTCATAGATTAACCACACAGTCATTTTGGCTTTTCAGTGCATTAATTTCCTGCCAAAAATCAAGAATTATTGTTCACAAACACCTTCACACTCACATTCACACCTATTTGAAATTTCATTTTTCCAAATTAGCTCCTTTGCTTTCGACGTTGGCGTGGCAAACCTGCCACCTGCAACGAGTCGCTTTTGGCAAGAGAAGGACACTCAAAGTAACGCGCTACACAAGGAGGCATCTAGTTTGGACAAAGGACCTTGTTGCATGATGTAACTCTGTATTAAAAATAGTTTTTGATCAAAGATTTCTCGTTTTGATACCATTTACCTGATACTGTGCTTCTGTCTGCTCTGACCTAATGAATCATTAATGAGGGCAGGTGTACTCGCACCGACAGGACAGCTAAATCTGTCTTTTTTCTAGGAGTGCTCGATCATGTTATTGTTGTGCTTTAACGGGACGTAGCTTCGTCAGTGTGCGGTAAGTTTGAACTGTCAATGTTAGGAGTGTGTTTGAATTATTTGACTGAAAATGTAACAAAGATTGTAGAATCAATACGTGCTCTCTTCATCCTTACGCCGTGACTTCCTTTCGTAACTTACCCATTCTTGCATGCATGTGTTTCACAATAAAAGCCCTTTTTTTCCCAGGCTCCCCCAGCCCCCTGCATTAGCTCGCCGGCAGATAAAGGGAACAGAACGTTTCCCTTTTAAGCAGACACATCAGCCTATTCATTTCCGCTTTGCACTTGTGTGTAGATGGATGGACGGATGGATGGGTCAGGTAGAAGGGCCTTTGCTTTTGCTCTTAGCCCGCTTTGTCTTTATGTAGGATCCAGTGCGCAGTCTGCAGGGCTTAACACGCACCCCTGGGCATCAGTGAGGCTCAGTGAAGCCAGCACATAAAGACAGAGCGAGCCCGCTCCTCTGCTTGCCCTCCTTCTGAGGGTTACATAAGAATGGAAGATGCAGGCATACCGACGTTGTTGCAGCTGGAGGTGAAAGTCGGCTTGTTAAGCCAAAGCATGGATGTGGATGTGAGGTGTGTGTGTGTGTGTGTGTTATAAAGAACCATGTGAGGGGGAAAAAAACAGCTAGAAGCTGGGGGCTGGGTTGGTGCAAATGGAGCCACTGCTGGACGGGAAATTCTATTTACTTATTCATAAATAGAAAGCCCAGGGGCTGGTTTTCTACACATTCACGTGGTGTGTGTTTCTGTTAATATGTGTGAGTGCTTTTTGAAGTATAAAGCAGAGATAATTACCACACATACAGGACCGGGAGCAATATATAAGCCAACAGGTGAAATGCAGATCACGTTCAGTAATTACCATATCCCGGTTTTCTTGGTGTCACAAACTGACTCGGACTGAGAAACAGATAAATACTCCTGCGTGCAAACTGAAAAAAAGCTCAAACCCCGATCTTGATTGACACGACCTCCCCCGGCTCCCCCCGGCTCACCTGCGATGAAACATTGATTCACCTCAGCAGTGCACACAAAAGCTGCACCCCCTCTGACTGCCCCTCCAGCAGTCTCTGTGGAACAACACAAGGCTTTTACCAAAGACAAGAGGACCTTATGAATATTCATGCTGCCAACACTGCTGGAGACGCAACAGAATTCGCTGAGATCAGCGCTGAGAAATCCCCATTGTGCAAAAACACACACAGGCGGGCTCGTGCTGTACAGTATGCATACGTACGTGGTGGTGCTGCTGCTGCTCTCCCTCTCTCTCTCTGTTTTTCTTTCTTTCTCTGACATTCCGACCGCCCACGCGCATCCAAATGCCGAAACACATGCACATGCACATGCACGGACTACAATCCACCTACATGCTTTCATGTTTGCACAGTCTGGCTGGTGGAAATCACGGTCCACACCTTCACTTGAAGTCCCTCTTTCAACAATTTAGCAGGGATATTTCTCAGCATCGTCCAGCTGATGAGTCGGTTTACATGCAAATGCGTGAGCGAGTTTGGATAATTTGTGCTGAAAGTGTATCCGAGCAGCTGCTTCTCTTTCACATTATTAGCCTATCAGCCACACACATGCTAGGGATTGTAATGAGGCTGACCTCTGCACAACCTAATGAATTGATTTGGAGAGGCATTGCAGCACTTGGACAATTTCACGCTGCGTTCTCTCTTGTGTTTATGAGTCAGTGCTTCTCATCCTGTCCTCAGATGGCTCCACACCACGTGCTCAACACCTGCCTTTCAACTTTGCAGCTCTGAGTTGCTACAGTAGCTCCAACAGCACCGAGGCAGACTCTTGAAAATAAATGGAGATGACAGCCGATTTAATGTCAGCTTTGGATTGTTTGAAGAGGCCCAGCCTATGGGCCCAGACATTGACAAGTACCCTCATAAAAGTGCTATACTCTGTGATCCCCTGGCAGCGTCGCTCGGCTCACAGCTGTGCATTTGATGCCGTGTTATGACTTCAGAGTGAGTGACACAGGAACAGGAGGAAAGTGAGTGTTGGAAATCAAACTGCGGGGAATGAAAGAGGTCTTAATGAACGAGACTTGAGAGAGCAACTATGAGAAACATCCGAAAAAGGAGGCGGGGCTGAGGTGAGCGTTTAGCCTCTGACAGCTAGAGTGTGCCCAACTGTCCGTCAAATCAGCCAGGCCTCCTTAAAAACTCCTGATCTCAGTATCTTCAAAATGAATGAGTGTATTACTGCGTTCAAGTTGTACTCAGGAGTCAGAATTTCTGAGCTCTGAGTCGGAAATTCATTTGGAACACCCCCCTGAAGTCGGATTTCTGATTCAGAAAGTCGGACGATCCTCACCAACCTCGACTTGATGGCAATGTCATAATCCAAGATGGCAGCGCAGAGCATTAACAGTAAAGAGTAACAAGTGAAAGCTCTCGTAATGCATTATGCGCTGTTTTCAACTGGTACAGCTAACGACAACTAACAACGGCTAATGAAAACAAACAACCAGCTGACAACCGCTAACAACAACTAACAACAGTGGACAACTGCTAACAATGTCTGACTACAGCTAACAACGACCAACAACGACTGACAATGACTAACAACAACTAACAACTGCTAACAACGACTGACAACGGCTAATGACAACCAAGAACCAACTGACAACGGCTAACGACAGCTGACAATTTTAAACAACAGTTAACAACGGCTAACAGTAGGCGTCCATCTTGGTTTTGTAACTTGTTAACTGGAACTGCATCAACTCAAGTGTAGCTTCTTTTCCCGCTCCGATATCTGACTTCCGAGGTACCCTTCTGAGGTCACTGGAATACAGCTTAAGTGTGCCCACCTGTTTGTCAAATCAGCCAGGCCTACAAAACTCGTGATCTTAATATCTTCAAAATGAATGAGTTATAAATAATTCACTCCAAATAGAGAGATGGATCATTCAGACCAAAATCGATTTTTGCACCAGGCTGTAAACATCTTGTTTTGGTGTGTTAAGATGGACTTTTTTGGGTGTGTTTGTGGCTTAGGAAACAGCCTCAAGCAGCGGAGGTTGACGCTTGGGTGCAGCTCTGCTTTGTCATCATGCTCACAATGATGACGCTAATGTTTACCATTCATGCTTAATAACAAGAGAAGGTAGGGCTGGGCGATAAACCGAAACTTTACCGTTACCAAAATTAACAACAATAGCAACAATGTCATTTTGTCCATATCAGTATATTTGGTGTCAAAAAAATAAATAAATGAAAGTTGGTTTTGGAGGTGTGTAGGTAGGCTATGGTCTCATATCCCTTTAAGATGATGTCCTATATTGGAGACGTGACTCCACCCCATTCAGTCTGTAACAAAGAGGGAAAGACAGGTGAGGAGATGAAGGACGGTTCAAAAGTTGGAGCGGCGGCTGAAGTAGATGAAGTTAATGTGGGAGGGGGTGAGCAGCTTGTGGAGTAGTTATCGTCTATTTATCGTTATCAAGGTCAACTGCTCAATATATCATGATATTGATTTGAGGTCATATCACCCAGCCCTAAGAGAAGGTACCGGGGTTTTGTAACGGTCCACAATCATAGACAAACTTCTCCATTCATGAAATCACAGGCTGCCACTACGAGCCAGAGAGAGATGCTGATGTCAACGCTGCATGACTTCCTGTAACTTTCCATAACCAGCTGATGAACTCGGATGAGGCAAACGCTGCGGTCGCAGAACTGAAGGAAACCTCTTAGGGAAGAAAAGCTTTGAAAGGAGCTAACCTGTTAATGCACGTGTGGTAAACCTCAACGGCTTCCTTGGATTGAGTTTGAAGGAGTTGTACAACGCTGTGGACTGACAATAACAACGCAATCACATAACTCAGATCACTTACTCAATATTTTCCCTTTTAAATTAGGATGAAATAGTTTCTTCTATCGGGGGGGATGTCTCTGCTTATTTCAGTAAGGCTTCCACACTGCACATGTCGTATTCTATTAGCTCAGTTTGCATTAATAGTCTTAGAGGTGGAGGTTTATTAAAATTGGAGGATAGTGTGAATATTTCAAAACGCTAACTTTAGCAACATGAGGTGGGCCTTCAGTGAGGTGGACTTGGCTGATCCTGTGTGGTAAAAATCTCCAGAGTTGTTTCATCTCTGAGCCACCTTCGCTTTTATCAGAAAAATACAGAGAAAAGTGTCAAGACCGACGACTTACAGCTATATAACAAACGTCCGCGTGCACAGAGGGGGGAAAAGAGGTAGTGAAACATCAGAAAGGAAACAGAGACCGCGAGGTCACTCCCTGATTGGTTAAAGCTTCCCTCACATCACTCAGCCCCCAGCAGTTTCACCTTTTCAACTCTCTCATCCAGTTTAAGTGAATTAAGGATGCTTCAGCTCCTCTTAATGCCGAGCTGCCTCATGAGCCTCAAACATTAGTCTCTAGCTTTTTTTCTGGAATATTCCTTGAAAGAAGTAAACAGTGAACATCATGTTCTGGTTTCATAACAGAATATGTAAAAAAGAAAAAAAAAAATTCAAAATAAACAAAAATTTGGCGCCAGTTTGGATGGTGTTTCAATTTCAAATTTTCGGTACCAGTAAATTTTTAGTTTATTGCTCAGCCCTATTTGATATTCGACACCGTTTCAACCCAAGCAGATGTCGTTGATGACTGGACACTTGACTCTGATCTGAATCATTTGCAAAAAAATAATGACGTCTGAGTCTCAGGATCTGATTTGTTAAACAAACCTGTTTTTCCTGGAGTCAATCCAAAACCCTAAAGACAGATGATCTCAAGGTTTTATGATCATCTCTTTTTCTTTGGTATGTTCCTCATCAGAACAGCAAGTCCCAACTCACTCAAAAAGTTCTCTTACATCACACGACTATTGATGTGACTGCAACTCCACAAGCTGTAAACCACATTAAGAAATGCAGTTTGTCAGCAAAAAACACCTTCCTGAGAATGAGCATGAGACAGACAATAAGGGGCGTATTGTTGAGGGTTAGTCCAGTTTCAGTCTGTCTTATGTCATAAATCCTTTTTTAACATTATATAAATGTACTACACATGCACAATCATTTCCTACATCCAAGTTCCTTATGCTAGGGGAATTTAAACCACGTGTATAACCTGCACATGACAGAATAAGTTGAAATAATCAAGCAGATTTTTCTCGGTTCAGGTAATATCTAATTCTAGTGTAAGAGTGGAGTGGCTGCAAATTTAAGAATTTGTGCAAAAATCTGGGACAAATGCACAGCTGGAAACCTTGCAATTCAACCTTGCAGTTGTTGTTGTTTTGGACTTCTGAGTGTGTTTTTAATTTGCAGCATTTCTGCCAATAAGATCTTTACAGGGTTTATACAGGTTTCAGCATGTCAAATTTAAGACTTTTAAGACCATAGTGAATACAATTTAAGATCCATTTTACATCCATACTGGCAAAAAAACTACAAAAGACAAAGAGAAATTGGAACATTTTAAACTAATTTCAAATCAATCTGTATTTTTAAGTAACATCAATACATTTTAAGACCTTTCAAATATGTATATAAGACATTTTATGAGATTGTAAGAGAATTTTATACATTTTAAGGCCTTAAATTCAAATTATTTTATGTTTTAAGACTTTTTAAAGACCCAGCAGAAACCCTGTCTTTAGTGTGTTGCACTTTCAGCTTTTGCATGAGCAGGATGTTGTCTGAAGTGCAGCCTGACAACATTGATATCTCTTATCTGCTTTGTACTACTTTACCACCTGCCTGTGCGCTGCTTTCTACTCTTTCATTAATATGCGAGACACATTAATTCATGTTGTATTTAGATCAGGTTTTCACTCGAGGTTTTGCAGGAGTTTCGCAGGCACGCTCGGCTGATCCAGGGATGGTCTAAATGATTGTGAATCGCTATTTCAGATCCTGCCAACTGATTAGGTATCAAGTAGATATTTAAATGCAGTGACTAGCAGCAGTAGAGATTATCATTTAATATTAATGACTGAACATATCTTTAGTTTGTAAAGCAGTCATTTCTCCTGCTCTTCTCATTTTCTGAACATGAAAGCTTACAGCACAAGTGCCAGATTATTTCTGGGCTGGGAGCTGTAACTGTCAGGCAACCAGTGGAGACTCCAGCGAAACAAACTAGATTTATGATGTTAATTTGTCAGCTTTCTGAGGTGCTGATAGGCGGATTTTGTTATCTTCAGAGAGAGAGAGAGGGGCTAGCTGTTTCACCCCTATGCCAATCTTTGCACTAAGCCAAACTAACAGTTTGCTGACCAACTTTTTATTCAAATGATTTCACAGCAGCAGACCAAAACAGGGAACTTTTCAGGGGTGCAGTGCGTGAGCAGATGGGGCTTTAGCTTTAAAAAAAAAAAAAAAAAAAGAGGTGTAGTCTCTGTGAGAAGGAAAGTGGTTTCAGAAGAGGCGGTTTGAAGCTGCCATCCTGGAAACGCTGACTCAATCTAACTTTTGGTCAACCTCAACACAAGCCAAGAGGCGGAGCTGAGGCAGGCCTTAAGCCTCTTGGCAAACAGGAACATGCCCTTTTGTCAGTCAACTCAACTTGACCCCTTATTGTAAAAATAAACTCTTAACTCCTTGACTTTGTAGTATCTTAAGAAGAAAACGAAAGTAACCTTTGTACAGTGTGCAGGAGAAATTTGCATAAAAATGTGGCTGATTTGACTGACAGTTGGCTCTGTTGATCTTTGTGTTTTTGCTTAGGTAGACCAACACTTGGGTAGAGTCAGCAGCATTTATAATATGGTGGAAAACTCCTGTGTGTGTAATGTATTCCTTATTATAACATGGCTGTTGTTTTCTGGTGAATAACTTCTGCCACGTTGACTTATTGTCTGAGTTGCAAAACTGAAGGTCAGCTGCCTCCACTGAGATAAGAGAAAGAGAAGATGTGAAACCTTCACCCCTGAGGGCGGCGAAAGTAGAAGTTTAATGTGTAACAGTGCAGATGTCTCATGACCAATGAAACGACTGGAAATGTATTGCAGATGACTATTGTCCAATGAAAACATGTATGTCAAATGTTTGAAAGATATAATGATGTTTTTATAGAGAGGAAACGCCCAAGCTTCCCGGGGACTCTCCCACTGACTGTCCAGGACTGTTTTGGCTCTGAGTCACTTTTTCTTTCAAGAAGCAGAAATTTCCAAAACACATGTTCAGGATTTTAGCATCAAAACCTAAAGGGGATTCCTCTTCTACTGCAGCCAGCTTCTAGTGCAAACTCAGGAAACTCTGCGTTGACAGTGCAGCTTTGCTCTTCCATAACCTAGGAGCCTTGAACAGGGTTCCTACGCTTGTATGGAAATGATTTTGATCAATTTCCAGGTCTTAAAAAGTGTTGAAAATAGGGCTGGGACTCTATCAAAAAATTAATCTAATTAATCTGAGGCTTTGTTATTAATCAATCGCATTAATCCAGTGAGCCAGAGAGTGGAGTTACTCATCTTAGCTCTGAATCCACTCATCTGGTCGAGTGTGGGTTGGGTGTGGGTCGCTGTACTCAGAGTCGGACTAATGTTAGCAAATATCGGTATCCGTAAATTTTTGATTTATCACCCAGCCTCATTTGATATTTGTCACAGAATATGTTGACATGGGCAAAATGACGTTGGTTATTGTCGTAAATTCCGGTATCAGAAAATTTTTGGTTTATCGCACAGCCCTATGCAAAAGTATGTAAATTACAGCTGTGTAGGAAACCTGCTTGAAGGCAAAACCTCAGTATCTACGACTCTTTAGGTCGAGTTGACAAACAGGATGATTTTGTGTTATTCTAAGCAGACATGGCTGACTGGACTCACCGTACAGAGTATGACATAACTCACATAAGTGTACGCTGTATGAAAAGGCACCTGAAGGGGTTGCAGATTTCGTAAATGTGTTTATGAATGAGCTGCAGAGAGAGAGAAAGAAGTGCATTAAGTGATATGATTGTGTCCACAGGAGGAAAGTGTCGAGTAAAAGCACCCCGAGGCGAAAACCTCTCCTGTCTTTAACTACGGTTCGTTTCAGCTGATAGTTACATCCCCTCCCCCCTTTTTCCTCGCCTCACACTGGGCTTTGCTGTCTATCAAAAACCCCCATGCGAAGGTGCTCACTCCTGTTCCTCACAGAGTCAAGTATGCCATCGTGATGAGAGGGGCTCTTGATTCTCTGAACCTGTTTTGATTTGGATGTGGAGCTAATGAGCTTTTCGCTGCTGTGTCGATATGAACGCACATGCATATACTGTTAATACTTACATAACAGGAATCCCAGTATGTACATGTGCTCTTATATGTCTGACAATGCGTTGGTAGGGGTGCATATGTGTTCATGTGTCCGTCCACATGCGCACACACTCAGCCGAGCCGATCACTGTACAGTAAGAAGCAGAAAACAGTCTCATTAAGGCCGGCCTATCTTCAGCCTCCCCCCTTCCCTCTTCCTGTATTCAAGTGCTGGAAAAAAACAAAAAAAACAACAGGCTTTATAACTTGTCAAAGGGCGCCACTTAAGGTTTTTCATGCTTGAAAAATAGTAGAGCAGGGAATTCCTCAGAGGAAATAGTTTCAGCGAGCCTGAAGATGAAACCGAAAGAAAGAGAGTACCTGTCTGTGCGATGTGCTCTGTCAGCATCCTGTCAACAGCACACGCAGCCAATTAGGACTGCAGCCAAATGGCTGGGTGAGTTTTCTGTTTCTCACTCCACTGATTTTGCATCCACACGCTCACACGCACACACACACACGCTGTAAACAAAGCCAGCATGTTCGCATTTGAGTGAACGTTCGATAAAAACCCGCGCACACACATAAAAATCTAATATGTGAACATACTACTGTACAATAAACAACAAACCATGATGCCTGAGAATCACCCTCACTGCTCTGAAGTCTCTGTCGGCTCTTATCCTGCCGCTGATGCCAGTTGGCCATTTGACTACATTTCCATACTGAGCCTGCACTGAGCACTTGAGGCCGAGCCTGCAAGTGGCGGATAAGTTGTGTGTGTTTATGTGTTTGGGGAGATGATGCCTGAACTTGATAGCCTCTCTATGTAAAATCCAAGCTTCAGGCTATGGAGTCCATCCAGACACACAAAAAACAGACGGAGAAGGGCACACACACACGTGCACGCCCACACAGACACACACACACATACAGACGCACTGCTCCTGTCTACCTCGGCCATGCTACACTGGCTCCTGGTGCTACTTTGCATATCTGGCCTGACATAACGAGGAGATACTGTATGGTGACTGAGGACAGTGGGTGTGGAGGTGGAAGGTGATACTGCAACCTCGTCCGGTCAGATAAATAAAACTGACACATCCAGATGGTCGCAGCTCGCCACTTTCAAGCTATCTTGCTGAAAAGAGTAGAAAAAGAAGGTCCAGGAGATCAATAATCATAGTCATTAAGAAATTTTCAGCTACAGGCCTCAAACATTTACCGTCAAATAAGTTGCCTTGTTCTCATTTTGCAGCTCATTTTTTGTTCTATGATTGTTAAGCAACCCTCAAACCCTCAAACTGGGATCCGTCAGCCTGAATCTCTTTAGGTAAATTTGCATTGTTGCAGGTAGGGCCGGGCGATAAACCGAAAATTTACCGATACCGAAATTTAGGACAATAACAGACATCATTTTGCCCATATCGGTATATTTGGTTTTAAAAAAAAACTAATAAACAGAGGTGCACAGTTAGCCGAGCAGGTTAGCCCGCCCCGTGGGGACCACAGCCTCGCAGCGCTTGTGGGTCGGAATCCGGCCTCGACCATGTGCTGCATGTCCTTCTCTCTATATCCCCACATTTCACTCTGTCCTATCAATAAAAAGGCTAAAATTGCCCCAAAAAATACTTAAAAATTAAACTAAATTAAAAAATGAAAGTTGTTTTTGGATGTGTGTAGGTAGGCTATAGTCTCAGAGGGAAAGACAGGTGAGGAAATGGAGGACGGTTCAAAAGTTGTAGCGGCTTGAGCGGCGGCTGAAGTAGACAAAGTTAATGTGGGAGGGAGTGAGCATCTTGTGGAGTATTTATCGTCCATTTATCGTTATCAAGGTGAACTGCTTAAATTATCGTAATATTGATTAGAAGGACATATCGCCCAGCCCTAGTACCAGGTGAAAGCCGATCTCCTTGGAGAGAGTGCAAGAGAGCAAAGTGGCCTTCTCAAGATTCCAGTCCACACACACACAAAGAGGACCAAGAGAGAGCTGATTCGAGGGTCAAATCAACATCTTTCAAGCTTAACAAAAGCAGGACCTACACCTCAACGCCATACTAACAGATGTTTCACTGAGAAAAGCTGCTGTTGTCGAGAATAAACAGACAGCCGAAAGGGTCCTTCTGAGACACTCTTGTGCAGGAAAGGGTGAGCCAGAGGGTGTTTACTAAAAGAACACAATGCATATAATAAAAACTCAACAGACTCAACAGAAAATGCATTAATTAGTCTGTAGAGTTGGAAATAAAAAGCGCTGCAACTGAGCGTCCTGGAGGCAGGCCTCCTCAGAAACCTTTAACAAAGCATGCAGTTTGGGTGGTACGAAAGGGCGCCTGACTCGTGTGCCCTTTGAAGTGTTGTTAGAAAACACGGTCATGTTTTCATGGCGGATAACAGCTTTAGAGGATCCTGCCCAGTGAATCTTAACTTGTGATTTCAATTGAAGGGCACAGGATACAGCCGTCTGGGTGGAAATTCAGGAGTTTGTAGTCAAAAATAAAGACCCTCCGAACCCCATCAAGATAGCAGAACGCAAAAGTAGAACACAGAGAGCGCCAAGAAGCGGAGAAGGGTCATCTTCCTCCCCTCACGCCACCTCTGGCGGCCCAACCTTTTTGTTTGGGGGCAAAAATACCCACATGCATTCAAGGATTTCTCCTCTTTGATGCTGGAATCCTTTCTTGAGACACATTGAGCTTCCCCGAGCAAAAAAATGTGTCATTCATAGCAGGGAATTTAACGTACACCAGCCGAAATAACTCATCGTATCATGTGGATGTTGCTCAGTCCAAGAGGTTGGCAGTTACTTCCTACTGTTTAAGTCCCTGACAGCCAAAGAATCAGATGGAGGGGATCCAAAATGTCGCCTTTTGGCTACGTATCATCATGAGCAATCATATCCATTCCCAAGGGAGGGTGATATCGCTTTCAGGCAGTCATTGCTGTGTAGTGCTGGATTCTTGTAGTGACTCTCAATAGTCTTCCTCTTGGCTCTTTCGGTCCAAGTGTGTCACCGCAAAACTGGGACCCCAGCAAGACCTCACTGTAATAGCTGAAGGAGAACGCCCTGCCAACCTGAGATACTACAACGGGAACTAGACCCTTTTAGTCACATTCAGAGACCATGCAGGGTCTGAGTGGGAATCAAAGGTGCTCCTGTTGTTTTAGACACGCTGAAACTTGCTCCACTTCCTTGTCCTTCTTGCAGGAGGTGCTCCACGTTCAGCCAAACTCGTCATCCACTCTGACAAACTTGCTGGAGAGCAATCCGACCAAGCAGCGCAGAGAAGACGTGCTGTCAAACTGCTACAAACAGTCCAAGGTCTTTACCAAATATGGAGCTCCGTCACGTTAAGACGCCGGGGAATGGAGAACGCTCTTGCAAGTCGCTGGAAAGATGGCTTGGCAGACACATGATGCTGGCAAAAGCAGCAGTAATAAAAACAAACCTGTTTTCGACATAGGCTGTAATGCAGCACATGAAGTATTGTGCAAGTAGCGATGCCTGATAAGACAGACCTTCTCGTAACCTTGAGTGGGATTTTGTTTTCTTGTCTCCTGGTAACTCTCATTAAGTACATCTGGAGTTGACTAATGTACCTTTTTATTTCCAGGCATTTTAAATGCTGTCCTTTAGGATGTGTTATTAAGTGATTGCATTGTTTTAGTCAACTTGAATTTGACATTTTCTTCACCACACATTGTCACCTTGTGGGAGAAAAGTTTCCCTTTTTATGCTTTTGAAAAGTCATCGCAAGGAAAGAACAAAGTTTTGTGCCGAGGACTCGTATATGCAAATGAAATAAAGTTACTAGAATACCAAATGTAAGAGTATTCACAGGGTGTAGTTATCTTTAAGTGTACATATCAGCTGTTTCAATGTGTGAACTGAGAGCTCTGACCATCTAAAAAGACTGGGTCAGGAACAACAAAACAGTGCAAAGTAGGGCTGGGGGATATGGCCACAAATCAATATCGCGATATATCGAGCAGTTCACCTTCATAACAATAAATGGACGATAAATACTCCACAGTCATGTCTCTGACAAAGAAAAGTGCCTTAAAGGGACATGAGACCATAGCCTACCTACACACATCCAAAACCAACTTTCAATTATAGATTTTTTTGACACTGAATATACAGAAAATGGGCAAAATGACCTTGATTACTGTCGTAAATTTCAGTATCAGTAAATTTTCGGTTTATCACCCAGCCCTAGCGCAAAGGTTGTGCAACTCTACTCAAAAATTAAGGACCTGAAGGACAATCTCCTCATGGTTGGATGTAGATACAGAACATTCCAGATAAGAACAGGATCTCTGTGAGAGTCTGTGTGAGGAAATAGTTCCACAATATCAGATTAATGTTCCTTAGCATATAACCTGAGCATCTGGGACTGATTTAAAAGCCCTAAGGTAGCACTTCAGTTAAAACAGATATGACTCTGTAGTGGAAATCGCATAAAGTAAACAAGATGTAGACATGATTCCAGGTCCAAGCTCATCTAAGATGAACTTCCTGTAGTCTGACGAAACCAAAACTTGCATCCGTCACTCTTCAGAAGAGAGGGCACACCCAGCTTCTTATCTGCTCACGGTTCAAAAGTCAGCAGCATGAGTATCTGGAGGGAACCATCAATGCTAAACAATATTTACAGGTTTTGGAGGAACATATGCTGCCATCCAGACATGCCTCTAACTACTGAAAATCTGCATGTATTACAACAGGATGGCTCCACAGTAGAAGGGTCCAGGTGCTAGAGGGCCTAGCCTACAGTTCTGCCCTGGTGCATCCAGCCATGAGATTTTGATATGTTGTCTTTGCACTATTTTTAATAAGACTTATATAAATTTAGATCGAACTTCATAATTCAGCATCTTATTCATTTTGGAGTAGAGGTTAAACAAAAATTCTCCCTAAAGCCGACCATCTTTAGCAGAAATTTGACAAAACGCACAATATCAGCTGAGGAAACTGCTTCACCTTAAGTGTTACAGGCTGCTGCCAATGACACATATACAGAGGTGACACCAGGCTCATTCATATCACAGCTTGCAGGTTGCTGCGTAGTCCTAAGAGATCCACCTTGTTCTTCTCTCCTCACGTCTGCTGATGACGAGCGGCTCGGCTCGCGTCTTTTGATGTTAACTTCTGGATCTCTATGCATTCGGCATTCTCTTATACAATCAACATCAAACGGCTCACACCCACGCACAGGCCCGGCACACTGCAACATACATGCATGCATGCACAAAAGGGATCCACATACATGGTCTCACTCTCTTGACAACAAAACACAAAGCAATGCAAATGCACATACATCACACAGAGGGGCAGGGGTATAAGTTATTTAGCACACTGTGACACTTTCACGGTCTAATTAACCCCAGTGTTGCAGTAAACACGTCCCAATGACCCCCAGTTCTGGTTTCTCATTAAGTATAGATGGAGCAGGAGACAGCCCGACCCTCTGGATTCAGATCCAGATTCTGCAGCATAAACAGACAGAAAACAAACAAGGAATCCCTCCCTTTTGTCAGAGCGGAGTATGTGCAGGTTTAGCTTCGAATAACCGTCTCTGGTGATATCTTCACATAAACACAGAGATGCGAGACTCTGAAGGGATGCTGCATGGAGCGCAGAGCGACAGACAGCTCTGTTGCTTTGATGCGGTGATGGGGATTTTCCTCTTCCCCTCTCTCTCTCTGTTGCAGTAGCAGACGTGGCCAGCGAGCTGTGATCAAACTGTGCCTTCATCCCTCCTCACTCGCTCTCTCTCTTTCTCTCTCTCATCAGCTGGAGGGCTTCAGCAGCAGGGTGCCCCAGATTCACAGACCACCTCCCTCCTCCCAACCAGTGCAGAGGCCGCTTCGTCTCCTCAGTGGAGCACTACTGACACCTTCTGGTTGAAACAGCGTCAGTGCAACAGGGATGCTTTTTCTACAATTGTTTCAAATGTCCCAATTTTTAAATATTCTCATTCATAAATTTACTTCTATTTAATATCTGCTGTAATTCTATGGAATAATAGGCAACACTTTACAATAAACATAACTTATAAATGGTAAATAGACCATTTATAAATGGTGAGCAGATAGTTTTAATAATGTTAAATCATCATTTATAAATAGCATATAGACTATTTTACAATTTTAAAAACCTAACCCTGACCCTAACTTTACAATAACCATCTAATTAATGTTTAAAGATGGTTAAAAAAAACAAATATTAACCATTTACAAAGTGCTACCTGCACACATTTTAATCTAGATGTTTTGCAACCAATATTTAAACCCTATATAACCTTTAATAAATAGTCCATTAATCATAATTTCATAGCTTCTTAATGGTAAAGTAACTATTAACTGACTGTTTGCCATTTATAAATGGTCTATATGCTATTTATAAATGATGATTAAACATTAATAAACTATATGTTTACCATTTATAAATTAAGGTTATTGTTAAGTGTTACCGAATAATGTTCTTTTTGCCTTTAAAGCTCTATCAAAAGCGGAATTTCAACCAAATAGCCTTTCAATTGATTCCTTTACAATTCCTGGCTACATCGCTGGATCTAATCAATACTCCCAATAGATCAATCAAAGGTTGCAGCAGTTCTGCATGAGGCGTCCGCACACAGACCCGAGCCGGGCAGTGAAGTGGGGGGTGGTAGGGAAAATGGCACATCAGCATAGATCTTGAATCAATACCAGTACGGGGCGTTAATCTAGTGAGTGTCCCTTTGGCAGAAATAAGTGAGTGAAAGGTTGAACAGCACAGCAAACCAAAGAGCCATTATCAAATAGGACTAGCTCAGCATGTTTCTCCAAAATAAGCCACTTCGTTTTTGTCACCAAGAGGTGCTGCCGGGGTTCAGCCAGCCTCGGGGGTGACTTTGGGTTACGCACTGTCAGGGACTTCTTCCTATTGTACACTGGAGTATTATGTAAGATGGTATCTGGACTTTTTTGTGCATGCTAGTCCAAATCCAAAGCCTTGATTTTTTTTTTTACTCAATGCTCTTACACCCTTAAATTTGCTTGACTGGAGCTTGGCTGTGCAGGTTGATACTGTAATCACCTAAATGCACAGACGGACGCTTTTTTGTGTGTGCAAGAAACGCAAGAAAGTCTTTTTTGCATATGAAGAATTATTTGCTTGCAGGTTTGAATCTTTTCAAATGATACAAACAAAAATCTTTAATCAGCTTTACATGCATTGGCACAATGTCACAGAGTTTTTTTTTCCTTTTACCTGTCATGTGGAAAAAGGTATCATGATGCATAAAAAGGTAGAAATGTAGCAGAAATGAAAATTTACAACAACAACCTTTGAGGAGTTTCCGCTCAGCGACACTTGGCGCTCATGATCTGATGTTGAAAGTGCCTCATTTTTTACAATAATATCAGCGGGTAATACTTGAAGTATGACTGCAATGATATAAAATATATTTAGCACCGTAAATACTACACAAAACAAGATCCCTAATACTGAATCAAGTAGAATTTACAGAGAGAAAGTACGATTGGATGGATTCATACAGTAAAAATCCCCTGAACTTGCTTTTTCATTTTACTGTCGAGGGACAAAAACTTTAAATAGAGAGGGGCTAATACAGACAATAAAGGATAAGAAACAAGACGATAGTTTTGATTTTTTAGAGGTGTAACATTTACACTGCATAGCACACACAAAAAAAACTGACTGGATTAAGAAAGAAGAATGAAAGTTACAAATGTCAGGCCCCTCACCACCGACAAAGACGCTGCCCACACTGCAGCAGAAGCACGTCCCGCTTCATCTCCTGTGTTTTAGAGTTTCAGGCACTGTCAGATACATGACGACATGATAGGAAACAGAGGGAGAATCACAGTGGACAACAAAAACACAACAAAATCAGCTCTATTTACAGGCCGCCTCCTGATACCGTCGTCTTGAATTGGATGCTTTTCTTAGTGCACGGAGCCGGCCTCGGTTCGATATAGTGCAGAGAAATTATTCTAAAACATTAAGAGATCGTTTAGGAAAAGTGGCGCCCCAAGTGGGATCAAGAAAACCCCGGGGTTTTCACTGAGAACATTTTCATCCCGTTTTTATTCGCAATACAACCATTTGCTCAGAAATTGATTAATCATTCACCGTCTCTGTATTGACACTTGTGCAATTTGTTCAACTAAATCAAACATTTTCTCAAACTGGGGTCCTCGGGGATCCTAATACGGATTTAATAGGCTCTATGGAGCATGAAATTCAAATCTCACTGATGCGGCTGGAGAGGAAAATCAAACACACAGCTGACAGCATCCTCACCTGGATTGGGGATTTCTCACTCACTCGTTCATTGACCCGCTTCAGTCCTCTTTGAGCTAACACAGCACAGAGTAAGGCTTCACTGCATTGATAGTAATAGTTCACTTTTTTTTTTTTTTTTTTTGATTCGTGTTCATCAGCAGAGGCATCAACTTGTCTCAGGAAAAGGCACACAACCTAGCTCTGCGGTTCACAGTCCGCTACCGCTCCAGTTCTTCGCCTCTTCGATTTTTTTTTAGCAGCACTTTGCATTGATCTCCGTTCCAGAGAGAATAACACTTTGTGACCTTTTCAAGGATATCAACATACGTACATATTTACAGAAGAGCTTCCCCTCGGACTAGAAGGGTCAGTCGATAATTTCTCTTTTTTGTTTCTCATAAACACGCCTCACTTCCCCTTCCTGTACATATGGCATTAAGGTTGGACGATATCACACTGACAGTAGACTAACTGAAACACAGCGAAGATGGGCGTTGTTGTTTTTTTGTTCTGCGTGGTAGTGTTTTTGTTTTGTTTTTTTGTTTTGTTTTTTATGGGTGCTTGATTGTGTATTTGCCTTTCTGCAGCTGGGAGATGTACAGCTTTGACTTGGTGCCGTCGAGTCGTCTGAACCAGACCTCGTCGTTGTTCACGGTGGTGATGGTGGCACTGCAGGACACACAAATACACCGATGTTAGCCACAAATGACTGCTCTTGAGAGCTTTAGGGACACAGAAGCAAGCGGTCGGCAACATTCATCTCTCGAGGGGGTGTTTTACTCGGTGTTATGGTGTGTTTGAACATAAATCAATTTTATGCAGGTATATCTCTTTAAATACACAGCGGTCTAAGGAGACATAAACAAACCTCAACTAAAACGCCACTCTATAGCCACAAATAATGCTCAGAACAGCACCGAACTTCATCAACAGTACATATAGGGTCACAGCCATAGTACTAGCCACCAAACATCTTTACAACTTTGACTTATTTCTTTAGCAAAGAGACCAAACACAACTCACCTACTCTCTTCCAGCAGCTGCTCATTTGTAGCAAGACCTCAGGCCAGTCCATTACAAACTGCTGCGGGGTGACACAGCTCAAGGAAGAACATTTATGATCATTTCTTCATGGAAATGCAATCAGACCGAGATGCTAGAATGACCACGTCTGAAGTTTAAAATGATAAATATGATGATAATTACTTCAAGGAAATGATAAAATCACGATCATAAATGTTCTTCCTTGAGCTGCAGCACCCGCAGAGGTCGATGGACTTGCCCGAGGTCTCTGTGCAAACAAGCGGCTGCTGGAAGAGATTGGTTGAGTTGTGTTTAGTCTCTTAACTAAAGAAAATTGAGCTTTCGAAACGTCCCAACATCAGACCCGAGTTGTTTTGTGCCTTATACTAGGGGTCGCCCGATACAACTTTCTCACTTCTGATACGATACCGATATTGTAGCTTTCAGTATCAGCCGATACCGATGTTGGTCCGATATTGGCACAAACTTGTGCATGACAAGTTTTGCACTCAGCTGCAACGTCTTTTTCGGACTTGAACGAAAAACACTGTCACACAGCCAACATCACTCCTACTCCTCACTACTTTGTTAGTACCTAAGTACACACTGTTGTTGTGATCACGTGGGCTCTGCACGCTGGATCCAGGTGCTGCTAGTTAAAGGTGCCGGAGTGGAGTCTAGAATGGACTGTTTTTATCAGAGTGCTGATATCGGAGATTTTAGATGCAAGCCGATATCATCCGATATTCATTTTTTTGCTAATATCGGACCGATATCCGATCAATATCATATCAGAACAGCCCTACTTTATACTATTCCTGGTGTAAAGTTACTTATACACACCTAGTTGGATACTCGTCCTTCCTGTTGATGCAGATCGTCTGTCCTTTGCAGTACCACTGGTTGTCATAGAAAAGTCGCCCGTCTTCAGAGCGGGCCACATGGTGATGTCTGTCAGGTTTGACCGCAGGCGCTGAAGGGGAAAAAGGGCGAGTGAGGAAGACGAGGTGGGGTCCAGAAGATGGAAAACAGTTTTAAGACGATTCAAAGAGATGACAGAAGACGGAGACAACGTCTGTCTCCTTTTTCAAATGTGTGCTCGAGTACTTTTAGCTGAAAGTATTGACTCGACCCTCCTGTGCGGCAGTGGGTCGATGGATGCACTCAGCCAGATATTGACTGTAACCGAGGACAAGGGGAAATTCTTACCGTCCACCTTCACCCTGTGTGGCCCCAGCGATGCCATCGCCTGTGGGAGCAATGAGACACAACTTCAAAAAGGTCAAAATCAAAGCGCAGTCACGTCGCAGAAGTGACTTCATTCAGAGTTTACAGAATACCTTTCTGATTGCAGTCCAGTCTTCAAGAATATCAAGATCCTGCAGCATGTAAACTATATAAGGCCGTGAAGAAGTAGGTTAAGGAAAACACAGAGGAAAGTAGCATAAAGCATCCGTCTGTGCTGTGTGGGTAAAGAACAGCAGGATAAAATGAGGACAGGACAAAAGGATATCAGAAACAACGACAGGCTTCTTCTTCTTGACCGGGCAGAACGGATCTTTCTTTTTGTTTTTCCGCGAGTGCAATCCATCATTCCACAGCTCTGGAAAACATGATCGGAAAGAAGAGAGTCATTTCTCTGCCTCATAGTTGAACCTTTTCATGAACTGCAAGACCAGTCTTAAGAATATTTATCAACAAAAGAGTCACACCTTATTCTAATTTCAACATTTCAATCAGCCATGACACTGACCTGCTGTGAACCTTCAGATTTGATTTAACAAACAGATGAATGAATGTAAACTGTATTTTTTGTTTTAGACAGGTGTTTGTTGTTACCTGAAGTGATGTCAATACTGTGTCTGTCCTCCTCTAATCGTCTTATTTTCTCCTCCAGCTCACTCTGCACCGTGTCAAACAGCAGCAACTTCTCACTCTGAAAGACAGAAACAAGGAGGGGAGGGGAAGACACATGATGGAGAAAAAACGGTCATAAAAAAAATCTGTTGAACTTGTAGCTGAGCTGAAGTGAGTCACTGTAGGTTCAATTTTCACATGTGCATGACTTCACCTCTGCTCTCATGTGTCATAATTATATTTGTCTGCAGCAGATGTAAACATGACTTGTCTTTGACATCTTTAGGGGGCATTAATGGGACTTGAAAAACGTGGATCTCTCCCAACCTGTGATAGGGAACTGTTGGCGATGTGTTATGAGCTGCAGATGTGATGGAGAGCAGGGCGGAGAGGAAGCTGCAGGATGAAGCAGCATTTATACAGAATCTGGATGCTTCTTGCAAGTTTGTGCAGACCATCACAGGTTTGATTGAAAACACACCTGCAGACCTGTGATGACTTTTCAAAAGCTAATGCATTTTTAATAGAGGTTAATGCACAAATCAGGATCAGAATCATTTATTAATGGGCACACAAGAGGGTTGGTGGAATTTGTTTTCCAATACAGCACATCATGCTTATATCTCCTGTGTCGGATACATGTCTTTTATTGGCTTTTTTGTAACTTTCATCTGCATGTTGCTTTCATTTGAGTGTGTTATTGATGTGTGAACCGAGGAATTTGAAGGGTCCGTGATGGTGACGGCTTCGGAGTTGATGAAAAGGACTGTTTTGGGTGTGGGTGAGCGTATAATGACAGATATATCAAGTGGAAACAAAAAGTCAGTGGAATCTACCGATAAACCCTTTTTATTTGTTGACCTCTTACCTCCCAATGCTGGCAGGCGGCCTGGATCTCACACTCATACTTGTTCTTCACTGACTCCAAACACAGCTCCCTGTAGATCCCTGTGACAAACGTTTCAACATCACATCAATCTGAGGCAACCAGCGCTAACACTTTGTCTATCTCAGAGTTAAATTACAAAACTTCAAATTCAGTAAACTTCTGCAGCACTTAAAGGGGTATTCCGGCGTAAAATTAATATAGGGTCAAAAACACCTTAACTATGAGTTAGACAACCCCTTGAGAGATGAATGTTGCTGACTGCGCTCCCAGGCCAGGCGAGAGATATAATCCCTCCACCTGGTCCTCGCCCGGCCACGAGGTCTCCTCCCGGTGTGACATTTCTGAAACACCTCTAACGGGAGGCGTCCAGAAGGCGTCCTAACCAGATGCCTGAGCCACCTCAGCTGATTCCTCTCGACATGGAGGAGCAGCGGTTCTACTCTGAGCGCCTCCCGAGTGTCCGAGCTCCTTACCCTATCTCCAAGGCTGAGCCCGGCCACCCTGCGAAGGAAACCCATACTGTGTTACTGTGTGTTTGACCCTAAATTAAATATACGCCGGAATATCTCCTTAAGTTGGATCTTAGTCATTTTTTATGGAAGAACAATGACTGTAATTATTCCAAACTGACCCACCAGCAACTTTGGTCCTAATCTGCATGTTCTCCTGCAGGTTGGCTAAAGGTTCCAGGTACTCTTGAGCACAACCGGCCATCACCTCCTGCAGCTTGATGTCCACCTGGCTTAGACGCTCCTTGTACAACCTTAAGTTCAAAAGAGAAGAATAAGACTAAAACTGGAAGAGGAGAGAGACCAGACTAAACACAAGGAGGATCTTAACTCACTGCTCCTTCAAGTCAGTGAACTGCTTCTCCAGGGTGGTCATCTCATCGAGACACTCCATCCTCCTCCTCTCACAGTCCTCATCATCCATCTCTGTTCATACAAAGACATGACAGATCAGAAATCACCTTCAGACCGAGTGGTTTGCTTAGATACCCCCAAACATCAGCATCATAACACCCTTACACCTCATCTTACGGCCAAAATGTGGACATATTTTAACTCTAACCACATATCCTTCTGAATTTAACTCTGTCACACAAGCACTTTTGATAGAAACGGCTACTAAGTGATATACAAGGCCCATTTTTCCTACCCGAGCTGTCTCCATCTTCAGACACGGACGAGCTAACGGTGTCCTCCTCGTCTGTGCTGCTGCCGTCCTGCTCGGGAAAATCCACCTCCATCTCTTCGTGGTTGCTTTCTTTCTTGTCCCTGGAGTGAACCGGCATCGCGGCTCCCTTTTCAGCCGGTGTTAACGGAGCGGACGGGTGTTATGTTGATTTTACCCCGAAATGGGGGGCAAATTTAGCTCAGACAGCTAACCGGTTAGCCGCCTCACATCCAGACAGCTGGCAACGCAAACATGGCTACCGTCAGCCAATCACAGAGAGCCTTACTAATTTGAGCCAATCAAATGGGGCTATCGGCGCTTATTTTTTTCCGAGAGACTTTTGGGAGTTGTAGTTCTTTAAACTTTATGCCAACGGCTTTTCCATTGGGATCCTACTGTACGTCAAAGTACTACAATTGCTAGCTTGTAGGTGTATGGAACATGAAAAACTAGTTACGATTTAGTAATTTGGTTTATTTAAGAGTTTCAAGTTAGAAATCCAGCAACTTGTTCTTCATAATTATTGTTATTTAACCTAATAACTGTAACTTAAAGCAATGTAATTGTAATATTATTACATAACAGCCAATATAAACTACTTTAAGCTCCCGTTCCAAGTTGTTGGCTAACATTATCCATGGCAAAGATTCTTAATGAGTGGTAAAGTTTATTGTAATAAGGTGAATATTTTTTACCAAGAGAAGTTGATATCACGAATTCATAACTTTGTCCACCAGGAGGCGCAAAACTATAACAAAGCCAGATATCCTCACAAGACCTTTAAGGTGACAATTATTTACCAAGGAAGAAGTTTAGTAAATGAACAGGCAAACATGTTTGTTCTGTTGTACTCATTAAAGCTCCTGTGAGGAGTTTTTGACAGGTAACAAAACAGACTGAAATCAACAGTAAGGTGTGTCAACGCTGTAAAATAGCAAATAAGATCATCGATGACAAGATTGGAAATTTCTGCATTATGATTTTTGATGTTTGTTACTGCTGTGAGGGGTTGGACACTAAGAAAACTAGTCTTTTTTTCCACTTTCCACATCGAATATTCACTTTGAGTGATCTGTTTAACTGTAAAATGACAATAATATGATGTTTGTTGTCAATAAATGAACATTTAGACACAGAAAAGATGAAATTAGCAACTATTTAAAGGGATATTCCGGTGTAAAATTAATTTAAGGTCAAACACACCGTAACACCGGGTTAGACACCCCCCCTCGAGAGATGAATTTTGCCGACCGCTTGCTTCCCTAGCTATTCCAACTGTAGTTGCATGGTAGCAATACACAGCAGTCTACGTCTCCATGCGCAAACCTCAACCAAAACGCCACTCTATAGCCACAAATAATGCTCAGAACAGCACCTAACTTCACCAACAGGACATATAGGGTCCCAGAACGTAGTACTAGCCACCAAACATCTTTTTAACTTTGCCTAATTTTTAGCAAAGAAACTATACACAAATGACCTACTCTCTTCCAGCAGCCGCTTGTTTGTAGCGAGAACTCTGGCCAGTCCATTACGGACTACAGCAGGGTGACGCAGCTCAAGGAAGAACATTTATGATTATTACTTTATCATTTCCTTAATCATTTTGCACTGCAGACGTAGTTTTTCCTTAGCAGCTGCTGGAAGAGAGTAGGTGAGTTGTGTTTAGTCTCTTTGCTACAGAAATCAGGCAAAGTTAAAAAGATGTTTGATGGGTAGTGCTATGGCTGGGGCCCTATATGTCCTGTTGATGAAGTTAGGTGCAGTTCTGAGCATTATTTGTGGCTATAGAGTGGCATTTTGGTTGAGGTTTGTTTATGGCTCCTCAGACGGCTGTGTATTGCTATCATGCGGTCGTTACTAAAGTTGGTATAACTGGAGAAGCAAGCGGTCTGCAACATTCATCTCTCGAGGGGTTGTCAAACTTGGTGTTACGGTGTGTTTGACCCTAAATTAATTTTATGCCGGAATATCCCTTTAACTGTTAACGATGCCTGTCCAAGCTTAGTGAGCCAAAGACTGTATAAAACCTCTAGCAGCACAACAGTATAACAGCTGGCGTACAGGACTATGAAGTCATTGCTCGGTTATTGTCTTACTACATATTCAAATTATGACAAATCCCCCAAAACCAACACGGCCTTTGAATTTTGGAAATTGAATAAACCTTTGGTTTGGCTGATGCACAATAAAGTGAGCTGTATTTATACTCATGAATCTACAAGTCGCATTAAATCCTCTTGAAGTTAAAAGGTTGTAGCATACCACAGAGGATGTATCATACGTACTGCCTGATGACTCATGAGCATGAAGGTGCCAGACCTGCAGGTCGAGACTTTATAAAAACATGCTGTCAGCGCCATCATTACAGTCAGGCAGGAAACTCCAGTACCCTGTTTTTGGCATCAGAAGCACACAGGAGGTTCCTAATAGTAAAAGCACCACGCACAGCTGCAGGCATGTGCTGAAGAGGCTCAGTAAGGCCTTTGCTAAATGACTGGCAGATGATTCAAACACCTTGAGGGTAAAGCTGTCACTGCTTGCTGCTTGACTCTCTCATCTCTCACCAAAGTGGAAATGATGGACAGACGGAGGAGGGGGTCTGCGGTCTGCTGTGTATTAGGTGTAATAGTCCATTTTACACCATCACACCAATTTTAAAATCTCTGCATTAGCCACCTGTGTCTTTTAGAGTGGATTTTAAGGTTCTTTTATTAGTTTTTAAAGATCTTAATGGTCTTGGTCCTGCTTATTTGTCTGATTTTCTTTTACCGTATGAGCCAGTAGAGCCCTCAGGTCTTCAGGTGGTGGTCTTTTAATTGTTCCCAAAGTAAAAATTAAAACATACGGTGAATCATCATTCCAACATTACTGTCCCCATCTGTGGAACAGCCTACCTGCAGACCTAAGAGCGACACCTACTGTTCATATTTTTAAAAGTAAACTCAAGACCTGCCTTTTTACCCTTTTTTAGTCCCTAGAGTAACTATTTTGTGTCTTATTACCTCTTTTTTGATTCACTCTCTTTTATTGTTTGATTTTAAGACTGTTTTATTTTATTAACTTTTAACGCTTGATCACCTTTATTATATTTTATCATGGTTTTATCGTTTCAGTCCTAGATCCAGTGTTTCCTTATTTCTTTTAACTAAAGATAGCGTTTCCTCAGTCATCTGTGGCAAGTTGAAGAGTCCTCACTTGGTCTTTTGCGTGTGTGTGTGTGTGAGCGTGTGAGTGCTGTATGTGTTGAATGGGGTTTGGTATTTGCATTTCTATTTATTTTATTTCATTGTTTTTAATATCCTGCTTGAATGGACAGCATTTTGTACTGCATTATATATATGAAAAGTGCTTTAAAAATAAAGTTTGACTGATTGATTTGGTTGTGGTTGAAATGAGTAAGAAATCATTGGAGGCAAATACTGTTTAGGATACTTTATGTAAAAAAAATACTTTTTTCACAGGATAAGTTTAGAAACTGTGCTGAAGAAAAGATTTTGTATTGACACTTTAAAGCTCCTGTTTTGTGGCGCCTCCTGTGGCTTATTTTGCCTTCGCTTATTTTACCTGCTTCATGTTAGAGCAGTGATTTATGATAACCAATCTAATCCAGCTGACTTTCAGCAAACAAGAGTATCATTTAATGTGCATATATCATGTGGAAATTGTATAAACAGGGCTGTTCATTTAGCTATAAAGCATGGAGCTTCTCCCTTGCACTGGTTTCAGGCAGCCTATCTGTACCGGACTCAAGGACACACTGTAGCGTATTTATCCAACTTCTCCTCAGTGTATCTCACTGTGTGACGGGTCAAAAACATCTGTCACTGACACTCAAACATTTGGGATTTAGACCTTAATATACTTTAATATAGGATATACATACACAACAGGTGATTGAGCAGCAGTATTGATTCAATATTTTGTCTTTGCATCATTTTCATACAGAAATTCAGTTTCCATTTTTAGCAATATTTACACAGCATCATGATTTTTTAGAATTGAGATTTCAATAATGCAGTTTTTATCAAATATTTAGAAAATATCACCCCTTTTTGGGTCATTTTACCCGTTCACATCATTTCAATAAAGGACTTTTTCCACATTAAAAATCCTCTGTTTGCAATTTCTAAAAGAAACTTCATATATCCACCACAAGAGGGTGACAGATACTTTTCACGAGTGGTGGAACAAGATCAATCGGTTAATCAATTTTGAACATTCTCTGAAATTTTAGTTTGAAAAAAGTGGATTTTTAAAAAGTTATATAACAGCAGCCAAAGAAGAGGCATAATATACGGATTAAACAGCTGGCTTTACACACCATGATGAAAGACATATGTTCAACAGTAACAGTATAACAGTGATTTAAAGAGGTAATTCTTTATGAGTATGAGTTTATGCAAATACACAGTTTTTAAGTATAAACTCGAGTCTATTTGGGTCACAAACCTTCTGTAATATTTCTGCTACTAAAAAAGGAAAGAGAGAGGGCCTGCTGAAATCTCTCATAATACACAGAAAGCTCATGAGAACACCAGACAGCAATAGATTCTGCTCATTTGGTTTGTGGTTTGTCTCGTAGTCTCAGTATTTCCGTGGTGTGCTGCGCGCTGCCAGTCAGATCCTTTTTCACACAGCTGTAAGTGTGTCAGGAAACTTTCCCGGTCTCATTTGTATTTAGGGCAGAACAGCACAATAGCAGAAAATCTGACCTGTCTTTTCAGTTTGTTTCATAATTCTTTAAAAATAACTTTTCTTTTTCCCTCGCAGGCTCGTACAGTCCAGAGTGGAAGCTGCTGACACAATGGACTATCAATAGATTTCACACAGGAATTCAGGAGAAACTCAAGAGATGTGTAACCACAGCTTGGAAAAACAGGCGATTCTCCCCTAATTCAGGAAACCTACATGAAATAATCCTCAGTGTGCTTAAATTTGCATTGTTCTGGCTGCTTTTCATGTGCATTCACATGACTGACAGCATTGTAATCAACATAAATCTGTGACCTCAAACCAAACTTGCTTACAGAAGCTTCATGCTCTGATTTTTTTCTCCTGCTGTGATCTCAAACACACAGTTTCAGAAAGACCCGATCCTTTTGTTCTCATTCACGTTCTAAGAATCTGGATCTTATCTATCTTTCACAAGGAACCCAACGATCAGATTATTGACTAAACATCTGAGGATACGAGCGGAGACTTGCTCGCTGTGATGGATGAATAACAGTCAAAAAGAAAAGTTCAAGTTGTCCTCTGAT